AGGGTTGTGAACGAGCTCAGCCGAACCTGTAAAAGCGCTCGCGCGCCGTCGTCCATCCTTTGGTGGAGGGCACAGGGTTGTGAACGAGCTCAGCCGAACCAAACTCGGCGGAGCCTCGGAAGTGATCTGACTTGGTTAGTCGGAACCGGGTGGAAGCGAGCCACTCGTCTGTCCCGGAAGGGCCGGACCGCGAGGGGACCACCCTCTGGGCAGGCCATACAAACCGCCGACCTAACTCGGCGATTCGTTGTGGTTTGTGTAAGGAATCCACATCTGACGATATTTGTGTGTTCTACTACACCACACAATTATATCAATGATGTTTGTTTTACTGAAAACTGGAAGAACAATGATCCGAGCCACACGTCTTTTTCTCCCATAATTGTTACTTCAAATGTACTACGAGCTGAGTTTAACGCCGACTCTGTTGTCCAATTCTGCCGAGCCAATAACCAGATTATTCATTAATTCCCTGCAATCATTTCTCAAGGAAAAGCTGAATTATCTCCAGAGCGACAACGGAGTTTACGAATGATTCGCGACGACAAAACCGGAAATATACCGCTATTACTTTCTGTAGCAAAAGGAATGCCCGTACTGTGCACTAAAAACGTTTCCCAATTCATGAAACTCTCGAACGGCTCAATTGGATATGTTGCTGACTTCCATTGCTCTTCGAACGTACCCGGACCGAAACACATGATGGTCTGGTGTACAGAGTTCACTCGCTACCGCCGGAAGTTATCTACATCAAATTGTTAAACCACGATACGGATATATTTCCCGGGATTTCTGACGGCATCGTCCCTGTGGTACTACGTACGGAAAAAGGAGTCAAAATTGACATGACTACACGCTCTTTCAGCGTCACAGTCACCCAAATCCCGCTCATACCAGCTTTTTCCCTTACTACACCTTTGCCAATCCAAGCTGGTGGTAGTGTAAACCAAAACGGAGTGTCCCTTATTTAGAAATTTATTTTTAAAAACTTTAGAAATCCCCAAAATTAATCCAGACCAATGCGGATTTAGTGTAAAGCAAAATGATGAATATATCTTGTTCGATGGTCGCCTCGATAACATTATCTTGTCTTCTACAGTACTTAAAGTACTGCACATGCACCACGTACATTACATTAGTGCATTGGCTATAGCCACGAGCGCCACGCACCGGACGCCGTTAGAAGTGTAGAGCTCTTCTTAACGCTGACCGTCCAGGCAAGCAGCCCCAACACGAGCGCTTGATGGCACGTCAATCGCTGAGCGCCGTTTTTGAGAAGAAAACTCAGAGCTGCAACCCTTTCTCCTTCCATTCCCCACGGTCTGCAAGCGCAGCCCAAAGCTCTCATCCTCGATGTACTCTGTCTAATTGGGTTGCTGGCCGTCTTGGTCCCTCTATCGATGATTATGCAGGCTGTACAAGCTGAGAGGTCACTGTGTGCACCCACACTCTCGTGTTCTGGCGCGCATACGCAGCTTTCATCTTTGTGTGTACCCCAGTCCGCAGCGCGCCCGTAGTTTGTATTGCTGGATGTGTCACTCGCGTTCTTGCCAGTTTGCACTACACTAAATCTGCATTGCTCTAAAAACTAATTTTGTATAATTATTCCTCAAATTTAGATGTTACTTCGGTTACTTCACTCCGTTTTGGTTCACTACCACCAGTTTGGATTGGCAAAGGTGTACTGTAGTGACAAGTGTCAAGGATTAACAGTTGATCGAATGGTTCTTGGACCCTTACGGCATCCGACACGTCGTAATTCACAAAAAACCTCTTTCTACGTCGCGGTGACTCGAGTGAAAACGATGAAGCAACTGTATCTAATGGAACCTCTGACACTGGAATTTCTTCAATATTTCAAACCCACCAAGGAATCACTAGCAGAAACAATGCGGCTATACAACTTAGAAAGGGAATTTACGTGCTAATGAAGACCGAAACATTTGGCTACTGCAGAAGAATTACTCGGCATTGACTTCTTCAGGTCGCAAATGTGCGAAAACGTCTTATCACGCAACACTTTCAACGCTTCAGTTTTCTGTCTCACCCTTGCCGCCTCCCACTCGCGCACAATATAAAACTTAGACGCGATCCCCTGCATAGGAATCTTCACGCTCACGTCTTTCTTATACTGCTTCCAAAATGCCCAAATATTGAGCTCCAGCTGAAGAACGTATAGCAGAATAAAAGTCAGAACTTCAGCTAAATTATTAATTCTCAAGGCAGCAAGAAATACCCACAATGAACAGAGCTTGTAATGAATAATGTCCTTGCTCCTTAAGCCACTGCCACAACCAACACAAGATAGTCAAGAATTAGTATCAGTGTCCCCTCTTGTCATCCATTTACTCTCAAATCAGCACCTTTGTCTCATGCTTCAACGTAACATCCTCCGGACATTCCATCAAAAATCCACCCTTGGAAATCACTTCTATCAACTGTAAAAACTCAACAGAAACATCTCCTTCCTTCTTGGATAAAAACTCCATCGATAGAGCCACCGTATCGCACGACTGCAGCGTATTAAGCACTCTCATGCCTCTCAGCACCTTCTTGCTGCCTTCCTCATACTCCTGAGTATGAAAACTTCCCATTATATATCCATCTTTCGTACGCACCACTGGTCGCTTCACAAACGCCCTGCAAATCATCACAAATTTCAGCAAAACTGCTCCAAACAGTCCCAATCCTTCGTATTCCTCACCTTGCAGCGGATCTGGGAGGCGTCTTGGCTGCTACGCGCTTATTCTGGACGCTACCAGTGTCACTAAGCGTATGTGGCAATAGCTGGAACTCCTGTACACACGTACCACCTCCTACTGAAGCTCTGGAACACGCAGCCATGTGCAGCAGCGTCTTGACGAAACCTACGTCCTCCACGCAGCGAAGAGACGCCAGCTCTGCGCCACTCAAGCTGCGTAGCCAATTCAACACAGAGCGCTTATCGGCGCTGCTGCCTCTACCGCCGCCTCGACGCTTGCGCAGAATGACGGCGAGCTCTCCGAGCGCCTGAACTGAGGACAGCCAGCTCGATCAAGCGTATCCAGCAAAGTGCGTTAGGCTAACCTTCGAGCGACATCAATTCAAACGGAGCGTTTGTAATTATTACCAAGTACTGTAATTATCTTGCGATAAAATCCAGAGCTTCCACGTACGGTTTAGTTGAAGTTGCTCTTTGTACAATTTAAGAGCACATGAATGAGCACATGAATGCTCTGTGTGGCTTGCACGTTACGCTTATGACTAATCTGTATCCTTGTATTTAATAGAACTAACGCAACAATACACGTCCATGTATACGCAGCAAAAGTCTGCGGTCTGTATCGGTCAGACGACATTCTTCTACTATTTCGCTAGTTGCTGCTCACTCCAGTGCTGTTACGGGGTGTGACATCCTTGCTCTGTAGTTGAATCTGCTAAGCTCCATGCGAACTTGATCCAGAATCTACGTCTGTCAGCATCGCGGCCGCAAGCCGTCGATGCGTCATGTAAAATACGAGAGCGAGCTGTCATAATTGATCGAGAACTCATCCAGCAAGTGCAGGTACGACGCATACATGCGCATCCACTCTCCAGCGATCCTGTCTTGCACATCCGAGTTGAATAGATCGAGGAAGATACGCACGTCGTCTTCGCTCATATTGTTACGCATCCATCCAAGAAGGTGAGCCATAATCACGCCACACTCGTCGTCACTAGAGAGGTGGTTAAACAGCGTGCTTAGCGCTTCATATTCCTCCGTCTCTGTCAACGTTTGCGTGATCAAGTGCTTCACAGCGGTCACTTCGCCGCGCAAAAGCTTCTCCAGCTCGTCAAACATGCGCAACACGGCTTCGCTTAATTCGCGACGTTCGTCGTGTACTTTTTCCAAGGCTATCGCCATGGCTTCGTCGTACGCGTCGTAGAGTGTGGTCAGTTTGTGGCCAACACCGGCAATGAGTGTACGTTCCTCCAGAAGGTATTCTTTAAGTGTCACCACGTGACGTACGTGGTTGTCAAAGCGTTGTAGCCATCTGGCAAGTGCAATTATCCCCTGTGGGGACGCACTGAGAAGCTCCTCCTTGGCAATAAATGAGCGGACGCGGTTCATATCTTGCATAATAGGCTGGTCTAGGAGTCGAAAGCCCACCTCTGACCAGTCGGAGTTCAAAACCTCTTGTCCCCAAGGGACTGGAAGCTTAGGAGTGTTGTCGTTCCCCGTGCCGTTCGCATTATTGTTGCCAATGTGCTCTTTAGGTCCGCTGAGAAGACGCAGTACCGAGCGCACAAACGTGGACGAGCGCTTACGACGCTGGTGGCCGTCGTGTGTCTGCACGATATGGCGCTGCTTCTCCAGCCACGTGAGTGTGTCCTCCAAGCCATTTTTCATGGTTTTCGTGGGCTCGTAGCTCTCGGGACGGGTGCTCTTTCCCTTTGGCTGCACCACGGAGCGCTTTTGGTTATTTCCCGGGATCTCCAGAGGAAACAGCGGCTTACGCGTCGCGGGCTCCTGATGCGGCGGCGCCATCGTGTCGGCCATGGCTTGGCTTCTCTTTTGCAAATGAGAAAGTGATTTTGACCGTTCGGGATTTTGCATTGAAGTTTCGCCTGGGCTGTGTGATCTTTGTCACATTTCCGGATACCTAAAAACGAGCTTGTGCTAAGTAGGGGATTCTGCTTGGAATCCGGGTTCCATGGCGTATAGCCGTTCACCGCGTTTCTCTAGAAGACGATGCGCAAGTTGGACTTTGTGACGGTAACAGTCACTGTTCTATGGAGAATCTCAGCGAAGCTCATGAAGATCTTCATGCGCAATAAATATCAACGGCCGTGCACTGCATGCGATGTGGCACCGTCAGTTGCCGGCGACGGCAACGCTGATTAAAATGCGAAAGCGCACTAACATCCTATCTTCGACCAGCAGGTGTCTGCTATTAAATCTTCGTCTACTAAAACGAGAATCTGGACGCGAGATGAGCTGCTCCACCTTTTTCCTATGTGGTCCATCTTTTGCTGTTCACAATGATTGATACAATATCTATGCTTTTGCAAGTTTCGGGCGTCGTTTTTGAACAAATTAATTGAATTACCCCGCCCAAACACTTACTCGAAGCACGAGGACTTCCTAATGGGATCGATCCAAGACCGAGCGTGCGATACGCGCGAGTACACCATTGGCAAGCTCTTTCCGCGACCGCATACCTTACCATCTCGCCAGTTGCGCCAGCTTACCACACCAACCACTACGTCGTCGGCATCGTTGTCGGAGTACTCAATGAAGGCGGGGCCACCCGTGTCGCCGTCACAGTAACCCATGCTGATCTGTCCACCCACACAAAGCATAGAGTCGTCTACGGTGATCTTGCCGTACTCTGCACACTGTTCGTTGGTAATAATTGTCGAATCCACACGCTGCAGCTCATGACCTGCCATCGCCGTCGCTCCCTCCGACGTCCGTCCCGTTCCCACGGTAGTCACTGTGGCACCGTCCTTGAAATCCAAATCATCAGCCTTGGCCAACTTTGCAGGTTTGATCGACGACGGGACCTCCAGCTCCAAGATGGCAAAGTCGTTGGAGAATTTCAGCTCCTCAGTAAAATTGGGGTGGTTCATTACCGCCAGGACCCTGATCTGCTCTCCGTCGTCGGTGCCGTTGTTGAAATGCGAGCCGATCGAAACCCAGCGGATATCGTACGTGACGCAATGCGAGGCCGTGAGCACGTGAATTGGGCTGATGAGAGTACCGCCGCAGAAGTTCTTGCCCTCGGCCGTTTTGCGCATGCCAGCAAAGTAGGTCTTTCTGCCCTTGGGAACGATAGTTCCACCGAGGATAAGCCTGCGCTCCACAGCATCAGTGGAAGTGTCGGCGGACGAAGCAACAGTCAAAGCGGCGAATGCAGCAACGCAAGCTGAGACGAACTTCATTAGGACTGGATAAAGCTTAAGCCTACGAAATCCAAAGTGATGCGACTGCCAGTCGCCAGCCGCTTACTCGCGGTCATTGCCATGTGCAAAGCAAGGAAAAGCCGCTTGGGGGACCAGGTTTTTCATTAAGATGTGCTGTTACGAATTTCATCCGTGATTCGCGGACCGTGATACCTGGACTCCAGGCTGGAGGCCATTTCGACGCAAATTATCACGCCCTGCCATGAGAAAGAAAAATGGTTTATTTTAAGGAGTAGCAATATCGCCAGCGTGTGCCGAAAAAGAATGCAGCTCGTTCTCTGGTTGAGCAACTTCATGTAGCTAACGTATCATGTATAATATTGAGAACCGATCGGTGCCGCTTCGTTACCGCCAGTCACTGATCGAATTGGCCAATTACAGAGGCCATTCAACTCTTTAAAATGGGTCAGTAATACCGACCCATTTTTAAAAGTTGAATCTGCTCTCTTCAACGTCTTAGAGCGACCTGCTTGGATTTGGCAGATCCCGTTTGGTGTTCAAACAGCGGACATTCGGAGCAAAACGAACTTAGCAAGGTCCAACCAAGCTGACCCCTCGAGCTGTAGCAGAACCAGAAATTCCTCAAACTTCGAGTCGAAGAACTCATAAGCGAACCTAACGATGATTGCTTTGCAGAGCCATTCGAGCTTTTGCCGATTTCTTGGCACCGTTGGTAGCGCGTTGATATAAATCAAGATGAAGTTCATGCCCGCCCTCGTTGCCGTGTGCGCTGCTCTAATGTCGTGCTCGGTTAGTGCTCAGACGCCGTCTTCCAGTCTTATCGACGACTTGATCACGACCCCGGTCACAGAAATTGAGGGTGGCAAGGGATACGTCGCGGGCGTTCGCTCTACTAAAGATGGCGCCAATTTCTGTTCGGGTGCTCTAATCGGGCCTTCACACGTTTTGACCGTGGCGAGTTGTATCCCGAACAACATTCGCTGGGTGTCGCTCGGCTCCGACTCGTACACTGGCACGGACAGCGGTGAGCAGATCAAGGTCGTAGCCTTCTTAGTGCACCCAAACAACACCGACTTCACGAACGACTTTCTCATCCTTGAGTTAGAGCTGGAATCGAATTATAAGCCTGTGCTTCTGGACCCCGTTAAGTCGATCGTCAAGTCTGGAATGAAGGGTGCTCGTCTCGGCTGGAACGACACCACGGCGGAAGCCGTGCAGTCTCGCTATCTGCATAGTGTGGAGGTGCAACTCGTGAGCAACAAGATCTGCTCAACGGAGCTGAAAATTGACGACACCAAGTTATGCTCCCGTGGCGTCTCGGCCACCAAGTCGTGTATGGGTGACACAGGTGGTGCGGTTACTGTGAAGAAGAAAAGTTATGAGGTCCTTGTGGGTCTGGTAAGCAACAATGAAGACTGTGGTGAAGTCGGCGGTATGAGCGTTTACTCTCGAGTATCCACTGTGCGTCCATGGATCGACTCGGTCATCAAGGGTGTCTGCGTCGCCTAAATGACTGGACACAAGTTATGAATCAAATTTGGTTTTATTTTTGCAATTTGTATACCGGTACCTGAACTACTGCAACCAGTCGCAAGTACATTGAGTACAATGAGGGAGCGCTTTATGGTGGCAAACTAGCTGTCAGGTACAGCAAATTTGCCACTGACAAGCTAATCAGCGCTTGTGTGTCAAAATGCATGTCGAAGGTGATGATGACAGACTCGACAAGTGTTTGTTGCCTGTTTGTAAGATACACTTTAGTCCAACTCTTCACACTTGCACAATTTAAACTTGTTTTCACTAAGGGTTGCAATTTATAGTCCACCCGCGTGACTTTGATCATTTGCCAATTACCGGTACAGATTGTACTACAGTAGAGTCGCGATGGAAGCTGGGGATGATAGACCTGCGGGCATGATCCCCGACATTCTGCTAGATGGGGACCGCCTTAACATGCTGCTGGACATTGTGTGCGCCGACTACATAACGGCGTGCTACGCCAGCCGCGAGAATGGTAAACGCGTGGTCTTCAAAGCTCTAGAGAAGCTCTACATCTCGGTGCACGCCGCGGTGCCCATAGTTGGCGCCAATACTCGCGTTCTGCGGCCGGCACAGGATCCTCAGTTCCAGGAACGAGCTCGCACCTTCTACGATGAGATGATGGCCGAGTTTCGCACCCGGAAACGCGCTGTAGAAGTCGCCGCAGACGGCAACACGTCGTCAACGACCAGAGGCCTAGATGACAGCATTGTTCGCGAAGTTATGAAGCCCAGACTATTGCAAATAGTCGAGGAAATGTGTCGTGAACGTGACCGCCAATTCGGATTCGGTGGAGTCTCTGCCCCGCCGAGCTCTAAAGCTACTGCAGCTCCCATTGATACAGGAGATATACAAGACGAGGTGTTGCCACCTACAGCCGGGGAGATCCGGATGGAAGGTTGGCTACGCAAAAAGGGTCAGCACGTCAATTTATGGAGAGAACGGTACTTCATGATCCGCTCGACTCCCAATGGCACGCATTTCCTGTGTTACTTCAGGAAGAAAGGAGATAAAGAGCCACGTGGATGGTACATACTGGGTCCCGGCACCACAGTGGATGAAGTTAGAGAATCGCCCAGTAAGATCGAAACCAAGAAGCTCTTCACGTTCCGAATCCGCCACTTGAGTCACGCGCCCAACGATGAGCTGGAGGAGAGTGCAGAGCTGACGCCTGGACCGACCCCGTCCAGACTAGTCGAGTCCCAGTATTCCCCAATCAACTCAACTGCTGAGACGGAATTCGATGCAAAGCCGAGTGTCAAGCGGGCTACGTCCAGGAAGTTCCGTAGCCGAGCAGCAGCGGCGGCTGCAGCAGCAACAGCAGCAACTGCTGTGGTGTTGACTGGTGGTCTGGCTGGTGTGGGGATCGGTGTGATGGGGATGAGTATGAGTGCGGCCGCTGCTGCTAGTGCTGGCGCTGCAGGTGCCATGATGGCTCAAAGTCGCAGTAAAGGACCAATCGCACTCGCTGCTGAGTCACTGGAGACTGCGGTGTGGTGGCGTAACAGCATTCTGGAGTGCATTGCGCAAGCTGAAGAACAGTGGAAACGCTATCTGAATTGGTACATGGATCACGATCCGGAAATGGAGGAAGGCAGTGTACATCCTTTACTCGAGAGCAGAATGCCGGCATATATATCGTCGGGTGCTAGAGTACGGACCGTCTCGCAACAATCCTTCGGAAAAGGCGGAACACTACCGCTGCATCCAGCCAATCGACAACGATCGGGATCGTTCGGATCCATGCCGCGATCGATCGCTAAGAGCTTCCGAACGTCAGCCACGTTCTCCCAAGAGACATCCTGGAAGCTGTACGAGTTTTCAAGTAAACTACGTGTCGACACGGAGCGTCAAAGTCATCAGAGTAGTCTCCGGACATCTGCTCCTCCGCCAGCACTTCGTACGAGTCTCAAGGTGAGCGCATCGCCTCGTAAAGTGTTCGAGATGCTCATGAAGGTCAACAGTCCGTTCTACACGTCCAACCATGTTATCCAGCAAGCTCGTGTACTGGAAGAACACACACAAGACCACAGCGACGTGGTGTATTGGAAACTCTTCCCGACGTATCTATGGCCAGTATTTGTGAATGCTCGCGAGCTGTGTATGCTCCGCTATTGGCGTATGGAGCCGGATGGCTCCTACTTTATCTGCTTCCAGTCCACTACGCACACGGGCTGTCCTGGTAGTACTGGAGCTGTACGTGCCAACATATTGGGTGGAGGGTTCATCATCTCTCCACGCGTACAAGAAGACAGCGACAACCTCTTTGAAGAGTGCTGGGTGACGCTAACAATTCAGATAAATCCGAACGGCTGGATCGACTCGAGACTAGCGCGCTCATGGTATTACGTCCATGCCTACGGAGTCTATTTTCTGGAAATGATCACAGCTATCACAGCGTCCGAAGGGCGACAAACGCTACGTCCAGTGACGGCAACTTCGGATCGTCGAAGGATGAGCGTGGGTGGAATAGTACCAGGCCCCAGTCAGCAAATCGTGACCGAGAAGAAGTTTCCTATGCTCGAACGATATCGCACCGATCTCAGTGTGCTGCATGGGTTACCTACCAAGTTTTGGAGTGAACCAAGTGCTGATGGGTTTATGGTACGTGGACCACATTATCTAACCTCAAAAACGAAGGTGCCGTCGACGCGTCAAGCCTGTCGACTAGTGAACGTGGAGTTGTACAAGTCCAATGAGGCGATTGAACACATCGGAGTGTCATCTTTCGTTGGAGATGGTTTCGATACTACGGATTCTACCGTGGAAGATCATCCGTTTCTCTTCATTATCAACTTTATACTTCCTGGCACACCACATCACTCGGTGGTGCTGTATTTTACACCGGAAGATCCGTCCAAGTTGAAGAAAAATTCGGTGTTTGCTGATCTCTGTCATGAGGTGCTACGTGGGCCCAGCGACGAGCTCCGTACGCAGCGTATCAAGCTGATTCCGCGTGTGGTGCAAGGTACGTGGCCTATTCGCGAAGGAGTGGGTACTACGCCGGCCATTTTAGGCACCAAGATTTACCAGAAATACTATCAAGGCAAGAATTATCTTGAAGCGGACTACGACATCGGCAGCAGTACAGTTGCCACAGGGGTGTTGAACCTCTTGCTGGGCTACTCTCGTGACCTGATTATCGACTTGGCCTTCGTCATTGAGGCTCAAAGTGTCATGGAACTACCTGAGCGCGTATTGGGCACTGTGCGTCTGGATTGTGTTGACTTGCGTCATGCAGTCCCATTTACGAAGAAAATGGGTAAAGACAAGAAAAAATAAGAGAATGTTACCCAAAATAAAAATGACAGAATCAGTAGCTTATTGTAACGTTTAGCGTATACTTTTTCTTACCAACATGACAGTTGATGCTGCTCCTCCAGCTAGGTGGGCGTTCCTGTATCCGTGGTGTCGATTGTTGCGTGGTAAATTGCACTTGGAAGGTCGTACAGCTGAGAACTCAGCGCGATGGGAGTATCACTGGGTGGCGGTGAGGTTGCCACATTCGCATGAAAAGGCTGATGTCAACGCTCTCCAACGGATTCGAGAAGCTCTGGATTTGCTTTCTCGAGTTGCCATTGTAGACAATGCAGCATGGCGAGCGCTGTTGGTGCAACAGTGTCGCGTTCCGAGGGATGAAGATGATCAACCGCTCGATTGCGACTTGCACCCGCGATTCCGTTTTGTGTTTAACGAGAAGTTCGTGGAACCTGGTGCTTTGTCGCCAGATGCAGTATGTAAACAATTTCTCATCGTGGCAAGTGCACAACGCGCAAGTAACGACTATTTGGAAGCTAGACGAGCTTTGACAGAGCTGGAAGTGACGTTGGGGAAGAATGTTGGTAAAGTGAAGACAATCCCGTTTGAGCTACAGTTCGAGCTCCTGACGCTGCCTGATGAGATACTGGAGACGCATTTGCGTGATCTCAACTCGATGCTTGGGATTCTCCATACAAGTGACGACAGTTCTAGCGGCTTGTTGCCTCTGGAGCTCGATTCGATTCGCTTGGACGTGGGAGGAGTGAACATGTCTTGGTCTTTATCGCAGAGGTTGACGAATCTACTGAACTCGGGACTACCTTTCTCACTGTTTGCGTTCTCGTTGAAGAAAACTACATCTAAGAGCTACATGCTAGTGCAAGAAATTATCGGCCGGTTCTTACGTTCAGTGCTGTGTGTTGTCGGTGCTGAGCAACGTGGCATTCATACACTATCTGTCGGTTGCCATGACTGCGATGAAAGGCAATTTGCGGCTTTGTGTTCTGCACTTGGCTCTACCTCATTTACAAAGCATCTCCGACTGTACGGAGTCTTTGGCACGTCCGATACGGAAGAGATGAGAAGGTGGAAATGGCAGTGGCTTACGTATGCACTTTTCAGGACAACCACAGACTCAACAGTTGAACGAGCGCTTATCACAGCAGCCCAATTGACAAGAGAAGACACTTTAGCTATCGCTGTAGCCATCCACGCGAACTCTCCTCCAACTGCTGGGTTAAGCAACATCACCATCAAGGAAAACATGATGATTTTTCGTGACTGGAGACACAACACTGTTGGCCACTTTCTCGAAGGCACCGACTTTGTGGTAATTCATCATGACCAAGAAAATGCTGGTGACGGTCACTTACTCACCGTTTTTCTGGAAACAGACTCCTGGCTTCATATTATGAGCGACGAAGGTGATCATTTCGACGTGGTATTGCCAGGATATGGCATAGCTCGAGCCGATAAGCAGCCAATCGAGTAGCGATTAGCATCAACGGATACCTCTACTCACGGCTTGAAGGCTCTGACGCTCGCTTTGGGTCTTCACTTCGGTGATGATGGCGGTGAAGTACTCACGGACTTTTTAAACCTTATTGGAGCCCCGTTACAGTCCCTCGCGCTGTACTCCGTTGGATCGTATCCGATCAGTATGGCTTGCATCACCCAAGCATGTCCTCAATTAACAGACTTGTTTCTCGAGGGTATCCAACTCATAAACTCAAGAGATTTCTGTTTCGATGTCGAACGAACTAAAGCGAAGCTGAAGTGTTTGGGTCTCGTGAACGTATTTACGTCCAACGAGCAGATCACGCGTCTCATTGAAGCCATCGCGTCGCCTTCGAGCCAAATAGCTCAACACCTGTCCGAGCTCGGGTTGTCCGGCTCTGAGACGTCCTGTACTATTGACAACGCCAATGTCCTCGCCTTGCTGACCATGTTGAGGAGTAATCGCAAACTATCGTATCTCAGTCTCGGGATGAGCCCAGAGTTGCAGACCAAGTACGACGAGGCATTCCGACAACATCATGGCGAGTCATTGGCAGTGGTGCAGTATAAAGTGCCCATTTCAGCCAAAACTGCGTTTCTGGGTGCTGTACGAGGCCAGGAGTGTCGAAATGCCGCATTTAATTCACTGGATGACGCCGTGTTGAGCCTCATCTTAGCATTCGCTGCTACTTTTCTAACTCGACCTAGCTATGCCAAAATTACAAAAATGTCCAAAAGTGTCACAGTGCCACTAGGGCAGTGACAATTCACTACGACGACTAACAGATCGACGTTGCCATAATCCGTAGGATTGTGTTGTACGTTACGTGTATTATACGGTTTTCAGGTTGCCACGTGGAGCTTCGAATTTCAATGTGGCAATTTTGTCAAATCGCACCATAAAAGCGCATGGCTATGGCAGAGGATGGGTCACGGCGTATCCACCGCAAAGTCGCAACTTGCAACTCAGCGACGCCTCCGTCACTATCGATCTTGAGTCAAAAGGAGACTAGCCATAGTGGATCATGGCGACCCCCGGCCCGAAGGAGGCAACGCCCAGCGACACGCAGCAGGGCGAGGAAATACCCGTGGAGGGCACGACGGAGGAAGCCATAACGATCGTTGACACAAGCAAAACAGCTGTGGAGACTATGGAGAGTGAGGCGGCGAATATGGAGCAGGTGACGGAGACGACGATTAAAGAGCAAACGGTTGAAGAGCAAACAGAAGAATTTGAGGCTGTTAGCGCCGAGGTCGTCGAAGAGATCGCCAAGTCCATCGCTGCCCATGACGCCGCCGTGGAGATCGACTACTCCGTGGCTGCCACTCTGGGGAGTTCCGTTGACGGGGAGAGTGTCAAAACGGAAGATTTCGCGGGAGAGGAGGCGTTCATAGAAGAGAGTAGTAAGAAGGCGGAGGTGGACCTCGCTGCACTTGCTGCTGCCGATGAAACTGCTGAGCTGGAACGTGAGGAGCACGTGGGCACCTCGGTAGAGACCACAGAAACCAAAGATACGTCGGAGATGAAAGACGACATGCAAGGAACAGCCAACGCGTCGTCGGAGATCTCGGACGCCGATGTGAACGCTACAATTGACACTGGGTCTGAAATGGACTTCTCCGTCGCTGCTACGGTGGGCAGCTCCGTTGACGCCGATAGTGTGTTTAGTCTTGACGAAATGCGGGATTCAACGAACGAAGACGAGACTACTTCATCTGTCAATTCTAATGAAGTAACATCGTCTGAAGTAGCAGCTGAGTCGACAGAGCTTCATATAAGCCACACGTTGGAGACGGACGAGCCCGAGTCGGAGAAGACGCCACCGAAGTCTGTGATATCCGACAACCCAGAAGCGCACCGTACGGATTCGGCAGCGAAACTGGCACATCAAGTTCCCTCACCTGTGCACAGCATCGTGCATCATCTTGAAGAGCACGAACAAGTCGCCCCTACAACTCACCGCACTGCGTCGGCTGCGAAACTGGATGTAAGCGGCTCGTCGCCAGTGAAACAAGTGGTTCGTCGTCTCGAAACTCACGAAGAAGAGGACAATGCGCTGGAAAGTCTCAAATTCCGAACCAAACGCGAGTTTTTCTCGGAAAAGCAACGAAGCATCTCTGTCAGTGCCGAGAGAGAGAAATACAATGCGCAGGTGGCTCAACGCGCGAAGGAGGAGGCGGAAGCCAAGGAACGACCCAAATCGCCCGCGAAACCGACCAAGAAGGGCTCGGTGATGTCCAGTGTTCGTAACATGGCAAGTCGCTTCGACGTTAAATATAAAAAAGAAGTGTTGCTGCTACTGGATGCGTCCCGGAGTTCTTCTATAGGTAGTCGGAGAATACCAAGTGCTCATCAAAGTGCGACACCACTGGGTTCCTCTGGTTGGCCAGCTCACGCGAAATCGACTCGAACTTGGCCTTAATGAGCTGGCTTGCGTGGGACACTCGAAGCGCCTCCCGGTTGCGAGCGATCCTAGCACGCATTCACTCTCACGGAAGATATCTCGCCGCCAGCTCGTCATGTGCGAAGAAGTTCGTGAACGCACACGTATCGTCCAGCTTGCCCTCTGTGATCACCATACTACCAGAGCGCCCGTTGCGCACCAACCAATCAATTTCTGGCGCGGGAATCTTGTGCAACGCCTTGCGACCCGATGCCTTCTCTTTCAAAGTATCCATGAGAACAGTCACGTTCACACGGAACTCACGCAACAGCAACTCGGGGGCTGGGACGTACTTGGAGCGGTTGTCGCGCTTCAAGTTCGAGTGGCCACCTTTGCCAATCACCTTGACTAGTTTATCCAGCTGTTCCATGCCTGCATCACCCAGATCAACACGGTTGCGGTGGTGACGACGTTGCAGACGTTCCTTGGCGCTGAGCTTGACAGCCTCGACATAATCCTCACTGAAAAAGTCGAACAAGACGTTAGCTGTCTGCTGGTGCCCACCGCGAACGACTCGACGACAGCAGCCGATTGCTTTGAGCAGGGACGCAGATACTTCTCCAACTGGGCGCGCAGTTCGCGTTCGTTGTAAAGCTGACCTGGCGCAATAGTTGCTGTTACACGCCGCTTCAAGACCGCCGACACGGGGCCAGCGTTTCCTACGACACTCGCAACGACGCTGAACCTGCCAGACGCGACTTTCCTGTCCCGCGCGGTTGTACTACGCACGCTCTCCAAGACGATCTTCCCTCCGAAAAGACTGGCCAGCGACGTCTGCCAAAGTAGACGCTGCAGTCTGGTGACGTTGTAGCTGTCCAATATGGTTCGTGCGTGGAAGAACCAGTAGTCCCGTGAAGGAGATCCGACATTCCTGGCCTCCTCCAGTGCGCTGGGTGACCGGCTGCTGTCGTTCTTCTCGTCCTGCGCTCTCCGCCATGCGTAGAAGCTGCGCCACTTTTCAGACGAGAAATCAAAGCTCTGCGCAAACTTGGAGACTGTGCGGAAGGCGTAACCGCTGATAGATACACGACCGGCGTAGAAGAGCTTGGCCATATCGGAACTGGTGGCTTTGCCCGAGTAGATCCATAGAAAATCGTCCATGGAGATTGTCACCTCGCACGTGGGACGCACATCGCCAGCGCTCGCATTCTTACGCGTA